GTAATGACAACATTGCAAGAACAGATGCGTACTGAAAGACAGTTGAACACGGATATATCGAACTCGAAGAAGATCGCGAATAAGTTCGATATATAAAAAAATCGACATAAATAACAGAGGCTGAGAGCTTACCTATAATGGATCATCACCTACAATAGGTACATTCAAGAATGACAACTAATTCCGCACACGCGCCGCAACAGAACGATTTATTTGCGTGAAAAAAAATCGCTAACCCTGGCCTGCTTTTTCGTTTTTGAAATGTTGAAGACACTTGTCTCGATCTTATCATAGCTCGCAAAACGCACCATCTATGCGCTCGTCGTCGTCTTCACCGATTTCTGCAAGTTCCACTGTCTTGAAAGCTGCCTTACGGAAACAGTTGACCACTGTGTCCGTCTTCACGTCTTGCCAGGCATTGAAGATCTCCGCAGGAGAAAACTTCATGGAGATTTCCGACTCCTCCTTTGTCATCCACTGCTGGGTATCCTGGCTACTGACAGCTTTGCTTTTGCCAGAAATGGTTTTGCAAACGATGTTGTAGTGCTGCTTAAATCAGTGAAGCCACCCGCTGTTGTCGGCAAAGTTGTTTTACAGAGTACAGCGGCAAACCATTTGGCCTTGGCGATCAGTATCGGGCCACCCACTGGAATGTTCTTTGCACGCACTTCTAAAATTTTCTACATTCCCGTGGGCAGAAGCGCACACATGACAGGCTCCCGAGATTTGCTGCTCTGCTGCCTTTGCCTTGATATCTGCCTTGTTCTTGAACAAGGTACTCAGACTGCTCTGTGGTATCCCGAAGTCGTCCGCCACGGTCAAACATTTCTTGCCCGTCTCAGCACGCTGAATAGCCTTCAATTTCGTCGCAAAGCCAAGGGTCTTGCGCTCCTTGACACCGGCTATAAAATTCAAGGAGTCCGCAGCAGCTTTGTACACCACATATGCAAAAGAGAAATGCTGCACATGCGGTGTTACGTAGGAGACGTGACAGCTCAAGAGCAATAAAATGTGGAGCAACAAAGCGCTTGCTACCTGCGAGGGCAATAGCAAAAGTTGCGAGCTGTGGTTGGGTGATCAAGCCTCGCAAAACAGAAATAATAAATAAAACGCAAAAGGAGGAGAACATCGGCTCCTTCGTTCCTGCTCTTCAAGCAGACGCGTACGCGGAGAAAGCATGAAAGAGAGAAAGAGAAACGAAAAAAAAAAAAACGTTCCACAAGTTGGAGATTGCGCAGTTCGAGCCCAGTCTGAGCCCTCTCGCCTTTGCCTTTTTTTGAGCCTTTCGGTTTTGGCGAAGGCGTGGTGCTGCGCGGGCAAAGGTCGCTGGGCACTGCTGCCAGTGCCAAAAGCGCGCCTTCCAACTCACGCGCGGAGCCACGCTGCCGCATTGATCGGGGGGGGGGCAAGTGTCGAAGCGCACTTTTTAGCTCGCACGACGTTTGATATATCTGAAGGCGGGTAAAAATACCATTCAATATAAACATGCGAACTTCTATATTTTTACAAAGGAATTCCAAGGGGATAACTTGAGAGTCTGATATACCCAAAAATTTTATATATGTGGATTCGATATAACCGTGTTCAACTATATTTCATTTATTTCTTTCTTTTTTTTTCCAACGAGCACATGCATGTTTGTATTTCATGTCTCTGGGCTCCGACACTTGAAGTGCAACAAAAATTCTCGGACGGCTGCAACGAAAGCTGGGGACAGCGTTTAAAATGCTGACGTTTGAATGTGGTGGCAAGAAGAAATCTGTCAAGGTGCAACAGCTACCTTGATTCCACAGATGAATCACAAATGTCGGCCCTTCACCTTGATTTACGTACTCTTCTGTGGACGAGACGCTAAAAAATTGTCGCAGATATATTTACACAATCTGACGAAACTGAAATGAGAAATTTAGCTGAAGTTACTCAAGTGCTACCCTTGGAACATGAGCTACCAGGAATAAGTATGTAGCTGAGGATGTTTGCTGTTGCATCACCTATAATAATAATAATAATAATAATAATAATAATAATAATAATAATAATAATAATAATAATAATAATAATAATAATAATAAAAATAAAAATAATAATAATAATAATAATAATAATAATAATAATAATAATAGTAAAAGACATAAGTAGCCCAGCAAGCTCCTGCTGACGACACTTCTAGTCTAGACAAACAACCTATACAAACCAGACGGTCTTCAAGCCGAGCCGTAATCAAGTTGCGCAAAGCAGTGCCCATACGCTTTTGGACATGATTAATGCAGTCCTCTTTTTCCACTGGAATATACCGATAAACCTTATCTTCTTGTAGCACAAGGTAACTGCGGCTGTCCCTGTCGCAAAGCACCGTGGTGTAGCGCAGGTTGTGCCGCTCAAGTGACCTCCTGAAGAGAATGAGGGCAGCCTCAACCTCCATTTCCCCAGCCTTCTTGTCACTGTTTTTCTGACACTGGCAATGTTCCTTCTACGCTGCATATGAAGGGTAACCTTCCTTTGGGCCCGACTCACATCCAGAACAAAAGTTGCTCAAAACAACGAAGTCAAGCACCAGCCCGCTGAAAAATTCTATGATGGTGCCGAGACCGATATGCGAGGAATGACCGCGAGTCATCCATGACCCATCAAACTACACTGCAATGTTTCCCATGTGGCCTATATTAAGTTCAGCGTAAAGTTTACGAACCGACCGCGCGCAGTCGCTCATCAAATTACATGCAGCGCGATCGGCCCAGGTGCCAACTTCGTCTTCACGTAGTGTTGCCACGTTTTTGTGTGAAGACCCCGACAGCTGATCCCCATCAACAAGAACACACCATTCAGCGCGGTCTGTCTGTTCCCCGTTGCCTGCATGGCATGCGCGGCCAAAACGTTCACAGCAAAAGGTTTCATGCGTTCATCGCTACGTACACCGGCGAGCTCCACAACGACGCAGTCTCCCCACAGGTCGAATACACAAAACGCAACTTCACGGCAAGTCCGAATTCTCGGTCGTCGCGGACATTCTGCAGTTTTCTGTTGCATGCCTTGCACTTTGCAAATGCCAATAAAGCGCTGTTCACTGTGTCAAAATCTATAATTGTGAACGTGGTTCCATCTGGCGGCCTAGCTGCTTCGTCGGCACAGTCAACCACGAATGCGCGTGTCCGCTCCGTCGCTGCAGCGGACGACAGCTCCGATAACTTATCTTTGGCTTTAGCTAGCTCCTCTTCCAAGTGATATTCCTGCCAATAGATAGTGCACGCAACCACTGCTCGAAGGCTGACGGACTTTGCACAGGCTCCGTGACAACTGATGAGGTAGCTAGGCCTTCCATAGTAGCGTCGGCAACTTTGTCATGGGACGCGGAGAGTGTAGCGTCTCGGGGGTTTTGCTGTATCACGGAGCACTTCTTGAAATTCCCTACTAGCGTCCCTCGCACCTTTTTCGCACCAAACTTGTGCCCCGTGCGAAATTTGCGCTCAGGATTTGACATCGTGAAACTTCTCCGCTGACACTGAGGCAAAATGGCACGCATGGACGCGCGCTCAATACCCGAAGCAGACGAAGCCAGGAGCCTCTACCAATAGGGAGGCAAGCTCAAGTCACGTGCGCGAAGTAGCCAATAGGGAGGCGCTCTGATACTTCTTTTTGCCGCTCATTTTACAAGCTGCCAATGGTTGAATTGGATCTATTCTGGCGGGGATTTGAAGGGAAAGACAGCTCTCTGAAATGAGACCAAGCGGGCCGCGCTGGGACACCGCGCTGGGCAGGGGCGCGTCACAGAAAATGTGCGATTTCAACGTCAATCTCGACTCAGATTAGCTAGAAAGCGCCGTATAAAGGGTCTTAGCGGCTAAAACAATGATATTATAGGCATGAAATTCACGATATAAGTGCACTAGTAGCTGTAGATTTCAAAAATGCTATAAAAAAACGAAAAACAAGTTTTTTTGCAATTTTTCGGTCTCCACAACCCGTGTCCCCCCTTAAAAAAAGCTTGCATCATGCCTGCAACTGGAATCTAGATATAGACGACTATATACTCTGAACAGGAGTGATGGGACGCTTCGGACAATGTACTCTCGCTGCTTACATGGCGTACTTAGGCATACTTAAGTACGCTGTGCCTTTATTATGGCTTTTATTGTGAACAAGGCTCCTTCCCATATGTTCACGTCAGTAAACATTGTGCTCCAAGAGTGTGTGTGTCCTTTCGCGTATACACTAAAGAACAACAGTTATGCACCATATTTTTTTTTTTCATGCCTCTTCTAGCAGCTCACTGTAGTTGCAGTAGTTAAAAGGGCAACTTTTTAACCTTTGTTCAATGGTAATGCTTATTTTATTGACGGTCGCACAGAAGTGCTGTCCATGACCTGAACAGGTTTTTCGGAAGTTTCGAATTTTCCATGACCTTTCCAGAAGGGTACAAATTCCCTGACTTTTCCAGGTTTTCCAGGTTGGTAGACGCCCTGCTACACTATTAAATAACTAGAAATTGGTACAACTTGACCTTTTTATGGCCACAAATGGTCTGGGAGAGTACACTCGCTCCATTCTTTCACAGCCTGAACAGCCGCCGCGAGTACAATGGAGCCATTTTTATAGCGACTATCCGGGTGAGGACGCTGTGAGCTAACTCTTCAAAGTGCCTTTCACCATATTGTATGTATTGTAAAGCAGCTGTTTACAGCCACTTTCTCTATAATTACTTCTGCCGCATGTAGAAAGGGGTGAGAGTAGCACGTGGCAGGGCTCTAGAAATTTTGACCACCTGGGGTTCTTTAACATGTATCTAAATCTAAGCCCAAGGGCCTCAAGAATGTTTGCCTCTATCGAAAATACGGCCGTTTCTGATAGTTTTGCATCCCTGAGACGGACACTGCAGGGCAAAACTCATGTTTTTCCAATCAACCTTACCCTTTCAATTTTCATGCAATTCTTTTCCTGCATAGAATTAACCAAGGAGCGCCTGAAGACGTCCTGGATCATTCGCGTTGCAATGGCGCCCTTACAGTGCATGCACGGCTGCCTGGTTGTAGGCGTCAATGAGCTCGTTGGAGATGGCACGGCGGCTGGGGCTGAGCCGATCAGCCTGGACGGGGTCCTGTAGCATCCAGAGGACACGCGAGCCATTGGCCAGCCGATCGAGCAGCGGGACCAACCGGCTCACGTTGGCTGCATACTCGGCCAGCATGTCCTGGCTTCCATTGCTCTGCTTTATAGCCCAGGTGCCACTACCCAGCACTACGAGGGCCGGCCGCTGCCGCAGCCAGTGAGCTCCCGCTGAACGCAGGGAGGCATCGACCAGAGGATGCCAGAGGAACTCCTGCAATGCATTTGCAAGTTATGTCCGGCCCAAGAAAGAATAAAAAACAACTGAATTGAATTTATTAACATGCCACAATTTACACATGAACAACAAAATGCATCTGAATGTCTTACCTAAAACTAGTTGAGATTCATTAAAGAGTAATAATGAAAAATAGCATGTCATATCAAAACAAGTATACGAACAAAAATATTTTATTAATATTGTAATACTTGGAAAGTTAATTTAAGTACTATAGTAGAAAACCACACAATACAATGGAGACAAGAAAGACCAAAGAAGACTAGTGCTGACTACCAAAAGGTGAATTTATTTCAGCAGACAAAAGTCAGACAAAATATTTTACTGCATTGTAGTCAATGCTGGTATTGCTGGGTCTTCATTGTCTCCATTGCACAGTGCTGTTCCCCACTATGATTATATATTATATAGCTCAAGTTCATACACATTCAATTTCAACATTATGTACCCACCAAGCTTAGCAATTGATCACACATATGGGCAACAAAAATGAGGAAATTTGTCACAGGACAATATCTAAACAATGAGTGCACATACAAAAATAATTCACTCACATTAGGCCACTTTGAATCATCAGGCTCTGTTCACATTGACTCATCATTCACTGCTCAGGCCGCGAGGACAGAAACAATTGAAACTCTCCTACAGTGTACGCCTAGCGCAAAAGCAGCAGTAAAGTACCTACTACACCATATTTCATCATACTGTGAATCATTCAAGTACCTGAGCTTGTTGATGCTGCTAGGCCATCAAACCAGCCACTTGTTGCACAATTCACACGATTTGGCGCCTTCTGCGATTCTGCCGCACAATATTAGATGCCCTAACGGAACTCTTTGCAAAGTTAACCAGCACAGCCAGAACCAGTGCTGCACTGGTCTTGTGCATGAGTACTGGTTAACATTGCAGATGCAGCCCCAACTTGCCAAAACACTCCTCAACAGGTCTCCTCTCGCACGTCTTGGTTGGTGTGGGACTACTTTGCCTTCAGAGCTCTTACAACTCTGCTTACTAGACAGCAGAGTTGATAACGTTATTGAACCATAGCTCCAAGAGCTGTTCAAGAGAATACTAAACAAGAAGAGAAGCCTACGCAGTGGGCTTGGGGTCGCTTCGACCAGAGTTTCTTCCTACAATATGTTCTAGAGGGAAGTCTGGCACTACAATCTTTCAGCCACCATGGGAATGATGGGCAGTGCACAGATTTGTCTTTGTGCTGGCGGCCTTATTTATTGTCGAGTTTTGGCTCCTGTTTTGAATAAAAGAATGAATTATTGTGAATTTCATGAGCCAATTTGGATTGGTGAACCTAAAAGAGTCAGGTGGAAATGGAACTGCTGAGAATTTGTGGCACTTCATCTTGTGAGACAGTGACTATAGGACACACAGATCCAAATAGAGCTGAAAGAATGAAGCTTAGACAAATCAGTCTCATCATTTTCATGCTGGTTGAAGGCCCATGCATTGCTGCTTTCATAGACACCAGCACCCGATTTCCAAACCCTAGTGCATTGTCAGGACACACATACCGGGTGGCGCATACCGGCGGCTGAAGGAAGTGTCGTCCAATCTTTTTATCCCAACTGGAGAGCATATGCACCTTGTGTACTTGTAAGTGCGGAGCATTTCAAACATCTGGCGTGTCATCCATCCATCTCATGTCGCGTGATCAGGCTCATCATAAAGCGCCCACTACCGGCGATGACAGGGTTAGAAGCACTCTAAACTGGCTTGAAATGAACGAACATGGTCTGATGTGATATTATTAGGAAAATGAGTAATACTCGCAATAGTCAATTTAAAATCTCTAAAAACACTTTCGTACACATGGGGGCTCACTCCGGCAAAGTGCAACAGAGGGCGACACCGCCTCCCTCAAGCTAGAGTGCCTCAATGCGCTCTTTCACCTCCGCTCTGTTCAGAGTGAAGATAAGTGCGCCGTTTGCTACAGTGGTCGGCATTATTTGGCCCACTCCTCAATGCGTGCACTGCAAGTGCGCGGCTTCGTGGCCTTTTTCTCTCGAGGAAAGACACTTTGTGCTGAAATTGCTGTCACAAACGCAAAATCGTTCACAAATATTGCTAGTTATAAATTTGTAAGCACGCATCTCAACAGGTAAACAAATATTTGGCGCCTGAAAGTGTTGCAGAACGTATCGATCCTGACTGGCACCGTGGCCCCTCGGCTGCTGGCTGCGGCTGAGTGGGGCACAGCTGCCGACATCACTATTCACTTTTATAGCTTGCAGGTGAATATGTTTGTGTGTGTGTGTTTTTGTTTTTAGACACAACAGGTTAGCTTTATTAGGGCAAGTTGGAGGTGCGGAACACAGTGTATTAGAAAAGAATAATGGAAAAGTATGATTTCCTGTACTGTCCAAAGAAAAGCGGTGCAATAATGCACCTACCATTAAGGCACAGAATATATGCTTTTATGTAGGTCTGACGTTATTTCACCTCGAATTCTCCAAGTTCGACAAACAGTATTAAGACGCACACTATAAATGTACCCGTCTTTCTTCATACGAGCGCGCAACTTACTAGTGAAGGATATGAATCAGCGAAACATAAAAAATCACAGCATATCCTCGGAGTGAATGCTGATGAGGGGGGCGAATCGTCCGTCCATCTATCAGTTCGTCCATCCATGCATGTCCGTCTCTTTGTCCGTTCAAGCGTCCGCACGTCCGTCCATGCATCTGTCTGTGCGTCTGTCTGTCTATATGCTGTGCTGGCTACACTGGAGGGATGCTGGACTGCCCTAGACCATAAAGAGCTTCGCCCAACATTTTTAGTTACTGTCAGTCAAAAACGCGCTCCAGAGGCGGCACCAACTCGTATCCCCTCCGAGGGGCGGCGATGGCGTAGCGTTAAAATTGAGCTGCCGCCGCCGGCTTCCCGCGGCAGCGTTGATTTTTTTTTTTTTTAGTTTTCTTGCTCAGACCACAGCGGTGGGAGCTTGAAGCTTCGATTTCGGTCATCGCAAACAGTATTTAACATGTTACACGACAATCAAGTATGTTTGAGTGAATTAGCAGTTTAACATAGTGAACATGCCGACCTGCCGCACACCGGGCTGATGAAGTGACTATGCCTCTGAGGAAAACGCGATGAACGGCACTTCTTCAAACCCCCAAATTATCCTGCAGTTCTCAAGGCCTGAACAGCTGCTATTACACGAAAAGCCTTTCAGGTGACAGTCAAGACATACATTTCTGACTTAAAATTTCGAATCTGAGGACCTAACGACTCGCTATGAGCACATCGTAAGGGGAACATAAAAATTCCATGTCGTAAGGGGAACGTGAAAATTCCATGTCACAAGTGGACACCTAAGCCCAGTGCTGTTCCTCCAATTTTCCCGAATGTCCCTGCATACTTATCCAGACCAGCAGCATCAAAGCGGAGAAGGACGTCACTGAAACTTAGAGAACCCGCGAATTTCGAGGGCCATGTGTCGGCAAGCGGCGGCGTTGTGTCGAAGGTAAACATGAAGAACGGCGTTGTTGACGAAGCTACTGGCGTCCCCTCCGATCCTGAGTTGTGTCCAGAGGCAGAAAACTGGTTCCCTGCATTAAAAGACCAAACAATGTTCTAATCCTGGAATGCGGAGCTTATCCAGAAAGACGCTTTTTTTGTTGTTGTTTTTTAATTCGCTCTTTGTGCTGCGCTGAAAGCTTCAAAGCGAAGTCCGCAAGAGGGTAGTGCTATGAAACTGAGTGGCTGACTACTTGCCTGCTCCTTAAAATATCGATGCCCTTCTGCTGCTTATAGGATGTCAAAGGTTAACATACTGCCTCTGCCGAAATCATCACGCTTTAAATAAATTATCAAGGGAATGCCTTGTGAATTTGGGTTTAAAAAGGTTTCGCTCAGCAGCATCGGTTTTTGTGCTGGAGGAAGAGCGGTCGTTAGATAGTTCACTTGACTGGTAGAACCTTTTGAAAGCTGTGTTTTCATTTTCCGAATGTCGTTCTTCACTTTTTCTAAAAAAACTGTGACCCTAATAACGGTTTTTCTTCGTTTTTTAGTAATTGAGCGAATTTTTTGGTGAACCTTTGTTAGTTTGGTAGATTTTTTTTTTCCTCTACCGAGCTCGCCGATTCTTTTTTGTGCTCTTGCACGATGGGCACGAGTCTTTCTGTAACAGCCCGAAAGTGCTCCTCCATACATCCCGAATCTTCAGGGCCGATGTTGCGGTCGAAATTGAAGGTAATGAGCTGCTATGCCAGCCTACACATATCTTCAGGTGATCAACATAACTGAGAAAGGTTGATACCATCTGCAAGCTCGTGAGTTTCAGCTGGCTTTGCAAACCTTGTTTGCTGTATGCGCACGAGGAAAAAAGCTTCCCTCTACAACTGAAGACAAAGGTGAAGTCTTTTGTTACCACTCCTGCCTGGCTAATTTCAACAATACCTTTGTTTTGAACAACTTTGAAAAAAAAAAAAAAAACTTCTTCCTGGACAAGCTCGACATTCCTGGAATGGAACTTTATTCGGTCTTCTACTGCAGGCAACCAAATTGCTACCTCTGGACATAACTCTGGATGGAAGGGAACACTGGTAGTGTCGTCAACATCGCTGTACTCCATGTTAACGTGAGGCACATTGCCACCACCGATTGCCAACACATGACCCTGAAAATTCGCGGTGTCTTCTAGTTTCAGGGGTTTCCTCTCCCGCTTTAATGCCACTGATTTAGACAAGTGTGCAGGAATATTTGGAAAAATTTGAGGAACAGCACGGGGCTTAAGTGCCAACGTACCGTTTGAGTTTTGACAACGTTTGCACCTACTATGTGCTCGCAGCAAGGCATTAGGTCCTCGGATTCGAAATGTAGGTCTTGACTGTCACCTGGAAGGCTCCTCGTGAAAAAGCAGCTGTCCAGGCCTTGAGAACCACAAGATTATTTAGAGTTTGAAGAAGTGCCGCCGATCGCAAGTGTTTTCCTGGGAGGCATAGCTACTTCAACAG